TGTCAGTGTGGAAGTGTACAAGTGGTCTCCACGTTGGTACAGTAGAATTAATAAAGAGCAACACTCCCATTCTCACGTAACACCATTTTTAGAAGAAATGACGCTCTGAGTGAAGGTATATGAAAGGAATAATTTTCTACAGTTACCTCCAGTAATATTATTGTATACATATTTTCTTTGGTGTTGAACTATATTTAAGTTAATTTATTCTACTGTAGGGTGTATTTATCATGTTTATATATCCTTATTTACTACATGTACATGGTATACAGGCCTAGCTGACATCAATGACATACTACTATATAGAAAGCCCCTTGTTATGCTGAGCATTTCAGGCAAATTAGGTCAGTTTTGTCCCAGGATGCAACCCAGACTAATATCCAGGTACAGTGAACCCTCGGTTTTAGTGTTTATTTCGTTCCAGAGACACCAGTGAAAACGGAAATTGGAGAAAACTGAAACCATTTTCCCCATAAGAAATAATGTAAATCCAATTAATCCATTCCAGACACCCAGAAGTATTAAAAAAAATTTTTTTTTAACCTTAAAGACAGATTTACATGCACAAAAGAATGAACATTCAACATGACACTTACCTTTATTAAAGACTGTTGTTTGTTGTTGGTGGATGAAAGACAGGGAGGAGGGGAGAGGAAAGAGAGGTTATTCTTTGGAAGGGGAATCCCCCTCCATAAGGATTCTAGGTACCAAGTCCTTATCTGCTTCTGGTGTGTCTAAGATTTGCCTAAAATGGGACATGGCATTGTCACTGTAAAAGTCGCCAGCATAGATTGCAACAGCTTTCTCAGGGTGATGTTCCTCCACAAATGAATGCACCCTACTCCACATTGCACAAATCTCCTTAATCTCTGAAGAAGGCATCTTCCATCTCTCTTCCTCCTCCTCCTCCTCCTCTGAAGAAATTTCCATAGCTGTGGTCTATTGCTGTTGCAGATGAAGCTCTTGCAGCTCATCAGTGGTTAGCTCTTCATTGTGGTCCTCCACCAACTCTTTTACATCCTCGCCACTCACATCCAACTCCATGGAATTCCCCAATGCCACAATACTTTCCACAACAGGCAGAGGGTCGACAGGGTCAGCCCCAAACCCTTCAAAATCCCTCTCTTGGACACAATGTGGCCACAGTTTTCTCCAAGGAAAGTTCATTGTCCTGGAACTCACTCCCTGCCAAGCCTTTGTATAAGGCTTATGCAATGGAAGATATTGAAGTGATCCCTCCAGAACTCTCTTAGGGTTAACTCAGAGTCTGAGGTTATGTCAAAGCACCTTTGAAACATTGCTTTGGTGTACAGATTTTTTAAGTTTGGGCTGGATGAGAGTGGTGGTGTTAGGGGGCAAGAACTTCACTGTTACAGTGAAATTCTTGCCTGTCCATTAACAAGAGGTACTGGAGTGGCAATTTATTATCCAGGGGGTATTTCTTCACACTCAGGCCAAACACTTCATTGAACCATTCCAGGAAAATTTCCCTCATGACCCATGCCCTACTGTTAGCCTTCCACATCACACACAATTTACTCTTGACGACACTGTTCTTCTTGAACACTCTGGGATTTTCAGAGCGATACACCAGTAAAGGTTTCACTTTGAAATCCCCACTAGCATTACCACAGAACTAGAGAGTTAGCCTGTCTTTCATAAGCTTGTGTCTTGGGAGTGCCTTTTCCTCCTCCATGATGTAAATCCTCTTTGGCATTTTCTTCCAAAACAGGCCTGTTTCATCACAAATGAACACTTGTTGGGGTTGAAATTTTTCAACCTCTATATAGTCTTTGAATTCCTGCACAAATTTTTCAGCCGCATGTTTGTCTGAACTGGCACCCTCTCCATGCCTTACAACACTGTATGCCACTTCGCTTCTTGAATTTTTCGAACCAGCCTTTGCTGGCCTTAAATTCACCAACATCAGCACTCGTTCCAGGCAGTTTCTTTATAAGATCGTCACGCAACTGCCTTGTCTTTACACACATTATAGACTGCACAGCACTATCTCCCGCTAACTGTTTCTCTATGATCCACACCAACAAAAATTTCTCCGCATCTTCAATTGTTTGGGATCTGTTTTATCGCATTCACCTCTTTTGCAACATCAGCTTCCACGATTTCTTTTCTCTTTGCCACAATGGAACTGATGGTTGATGGCGCCTTCCTGTACATCCTACCGAGGTGGCAATATGTATGCCACTATCATATTTTTGAAAGATTTCTTTGTTCCTTTTTAAGGTGTTCCTCACTTTCTTTGCCACAGGACTGACACTAGAAGCTTTCTTTGGGGCCATGGTGGCTTATTTAGCAGTCACACACAATAAACAAGTGCCAAAAACAATATACAGTAGACCCCCGATTCGCGATATTAATCCGTTCCTGAGAGCTCATCGTATACCAAAATTATCGGAAAGCGAATCAATTTTCCCCATAAGAAAAATGGAAATCAAATTAATCTGTGCAAGACACCCAAAAGTATGAAAAAAAAAAAACTTTAACCACATGAAATATTAAGTTTAATGCAATAGAATAATTACAATAACAAAATAACAATAGAATAATTGACACTTACCTTTAATGAAGATCTGGTAGTGATTGAAGGGATGGGAGGAGGGGAGAGTGTTGAACCTATTGTTTAGAAGGGGAATCCCCCTCCATTAGGACTTGAGGTAGCAAGTCCTTTCCCGGGGTTACTTCCCTTCTTCTTTTAATGCAACTAGGACCAGCTTGAGAGTCACTGGGCTTCTGTCACACAACATATCTGTCCATAGAGGCCTGTACCTCTCGTTCCTATATGACTTTCCTAAAGTGGTTCACAACATTGTCAGTGTAATAGTCACCAGCACAGCTTGCAATAGCTGTGTTAGGGTGATTTTCATCCATAAAGGTTTGCAGTTCAATCCACTGTGCACACATTTCCTTAATTTTTGAAGTAGGCACAATGGATTCCATAACTGGCATAGGCTTCTCAGGGTTAGCACCAAACCCTTCAAAATCTTTCTTAATTTCCATACTAACTCTCACCCTTTTTACCACAGGGTTGGTACTAGAAGCTTTCTTGGGGCCCATGGTGACTTATTTTGCAGAAACAAGCACCAAAAACAGTGATAATATGGATAATACGGAATGTACCGAATGTATCCTTAGATGAGCGCACACTGGCTGGCTTGTAAACACTGGCACACACGGGGCAGTTCAGGCCACACGTGGACACGTCTCGTACAAATCGAATCGCGTGCCTGGTTTTGTAATGGGAACCAAGGCAAATTTTTTGCGATATAATGCTTCGGATACAGGATTTATCGGTTACCGATGACTTCGCGAACCGGGGGTCCACTGTATACATATATATATTACACAGACACACACACACACACACACACACACACACACACACACACACACACACACGTTTGGACCGTTTAGGGGTTAAAACACTTGAAATTTTGGAAAGTTTCCAGACATAATGGAGACACTCAGAGTTCATGGAGAATGTAAACAAAATGGGTGGGGTGAAGTGACCATATTAGAAAGTCAGGTGGGGGGAGCGGTATAGCGAGTTTTGGTCATAATTTGAAATGTCCGTATTAGCAACACCATAAAGCAAAATGCCATAAAGCGGGGCCCTACTGTATACACAAATACAGTTACATATATCATCATATGTGCAGAGAACCTAGGATAACCCAAAAAAAGTTGAAGTGACTTATTTCCATTAGGGTCCTTAAAAACTATCATATAGTCGATGGGTTTAACACATAATAAACCAGCTAGCCATTTTGTATAACAAACCAGAAACAAGAACAGATCTTGCAAGATCTGTTCTTGCAAGAGATGCAATGAGGAAGTGGTTCAGTGTAACACTTGTATAACCCTTGCTGAATTTAAACAGCACTACAGAAGGAATGATAGCAAAATAGCTTTGAGTTTGGTAGACTGGAACAATGGAATGGGCCAAAAATAGGGCGTTAAATGGGTGAAATCGCTGATGCATAAATACTGCCATTGGGTTAAGTGTATTCTAACCTAACCACTCTGTAATCCGGCAAGCTAACTAATCCGGCACCCTACAGGTGCCAATGATGCCGGATTAGTGATGGCTGACCTGTATATTAAAATTCAATATTCCAAGCTAATTAGCCAAGCCTCAGTCTCTCTCATCTTGCAAAGAAAATCGTGCGTATATTTGGATTTTATTTGTGTACTTTATTAACATGCATTTTTTTTTTTTTGGCCTTGCAATAGGCAAACTGAAATAAAGCATTTTTTTTAACCCTTAAACTGTCCAAACGTAGATCTACGTATTTTCAACATTTGAAAGTATTTAAAAAAGTAGATCTTCTTTTCTTTTTTTACATTTGAAAACGTGTAAAAAAAACTTTGATCTACTTTTTTTTTTTGTTATATTTGAAAATATGTAAAAAAAAAACATAGATCTACTTTTGGAGCACTACGCATATGAACATAGATCTGCTTGGACAGTTTAAGGGTTAAAAAGCAACGTTTTTGGGAGAGAGAATAAAAAAGGCACACTAACTGTATCTGGAAGCAATTAAAAAAAAAAAAAAAAAGTTTCATGTGACAATAATATACTACGAAGCTGTCTTAATATTTAATTTATTGAGTGTACAGCGTGGAAAAAAAAAATTCTTATTGGAAAAGTAGAGAGATGCAGTTGTTAAATATTTACCAGGTCTAGGATGACCAAATTGGAAATTACTCAGTGCAAGATTTGATTATGATTGCATTAACCTAGCACTGTAATGCCACATGCATTCTTCACACTTCAAAACATGGCAATTCATTCCTTCATAATGAATGAGTACATCTTGAAGTGTACATTGCACATCTGCTCATGTGTCTTACTAGTTTTATCCTCACCTATCAAGAAAAATTAAGTTAAGAAGAAAGAAGATATTAAGACAAGCACATACATAGTAACTTCAAATTAAGTGGTACACAGCAAGCCAACACAAGACACCATATGTACTTACGAGGTTCAAATATTCCAATTTCTGTGAGTCAGCAGAAAAAGAGAAAATGATAGGGAAGTAAGGTGAGTGTCCATACAACAAACAAGCACATACTACATCTATTATACTAATCTTCTACACTTTTTTCTTTTTTTAAGTAAGACACATGTGCAACAGTTAGGTATCTTTATTCTGAAATGTTTCACCTACAGAGTAGGCTTTTTCAGTCAAATACCGAGGAGGCAGTAAAATCAATGGAGATGTAAAGATGACGTAATTGGTCCATCACCTTTGAAGCAAACAGTTTTGAGGTAACCAATCCCTCAACCTGGAGAAGAATTCTGCTCCATAGTTCCAGACTATGGAGCACAACTCTTCTCCAGGTTGAGGGATTGACTACCTCATAACTACATCTTCAGGGATGATGGACTAATTACATCATCTTTACATCACTATTGCTTCTACTGCCTCCTCTGCATTTGACTGAAGAAGCCTACTGTGTAGGTGAAATGTTTCTGAAAAAAGATACCTGTTACAAATGTGTCTTACTTATCAACTTGTCAGCATTGTATATCTATCATATTCACAGTTATTTTTAACCAGGTAAGCCTTTGCACATCACAGACCAATAACATCTAATGTTATTGCTTGTTGGCTACCTCATTTCTTTAACCAATCAGCAATATTTTCAAAATTATTCATGATGTTTAAAATGACCAATATACTATTGTAAACTAATATTTGTAAATACTGTATCAACAAATATTGACAAAATATTAAAAGTATGTAACTACATTTCAAAAAACAGAACTAGTTTCCTGCCTCTTAATACAGAACTAGACTTTGAAAAAGTTAGTTTTCAGGAAAAAATAGAGTATCAATAGTGAAAAATAAAGAACATGTTAGGAAAATATGGTGCAATGTCAATATTTCCTATTTACAATTGCAAAACTTAGTGAACGTGAAAAATTCATCACTAAACTCCAAGTCACAACAGCAATATTCATCATCTACCATCAAAAATTATAGAATTCCAAATTAAATCAATTTCATAATGATGGTTAGTAAAAATCTATTTTCTTTATTATTACACTTCTACTTCTACATATATTTATCTAAATAGTTGGGGCAACAAAACATATACAAAAAATTCATGAGAACCTTTACATAATACTATATACTACACATTATCAAATTTGGTGAAGAGCTTTTTGCTGAAAGTTACTTTCTTGTATGAGTTAGGTTACCCAGAAAGCTCCAGACTCCCATTACAGTGGCAATCATACTGTATGTATGTATGTATGTATGTATGTATGTATGTATGTATGTATGTATGTATGTATATATGTATGTATGTATATATGTATGTATGTTTTATCTATTTTTTAATCACAGTAGTCATCAGATACCAAAGTAGGGTGACCCCAAAACAAATGGAAACATTCATCATTCATTCAACAGCTGTCTTGCCAGAAGTGTACAGATATTGCAATTCAAATGATCCAGTAATGTCCCTACCCCTATTTCAGAATACATTCACGAGGTATGTATGTATGTATGTGTGTGTGCATGTACACACACATCCCTACATTTGCGTGCATATTCACACACTCGCTAACATGTGGCTGCAAGGGCCAAGTCCCAGCTGTCTGGAGTTACCTCAGCTATTAGATCCTTCAGTTCATTACTCCTGTTGTACAGTCCATTTGAATTTGTGTACCACACTCTTACCTTACTTTCCTTTACTATACACTGGTTTCTGTTTGTTACTCCTCTGAATGTTGCTCATCCAATGTGTGCGAGGAAGGTCTGGGTTACTGTGCATGTCACTGCCTGATAAGTGAACAGAGAAGGGGCAAGGGAGCTGGGGAAGGGCCACAGAATGCCTGCCTGCATCCCACCCCTCCCTCCTATTCACTTCCAACACCCTCCACCATCAATCCATTTAAGATAGGCAAGCAGGCAGACTTTCAATATTCCCATTAAGAAAGGGGAGAGGAGGAGGAAGAGATGAAGGAACAAGAAAGGGGAGAGGAGGAAGAGATGAAGGAACAAGAAAGGAGAGAGGGGGGGAGAGGGATAAAGGAACAGGGAGAAAGAGAGGGAAAGGGAGAGAAATAAGGAGGGGGGAAAGAGAGTAAGTGACAGCGAGAACGAGCAAGTGAGAGAGAGCGAGAGAGTGAAAGCATGCTTGCATTACTTTTTTTCCTACATCTGGCTGTGTCATGAATACAGCCGACTAAGGTTATTTTATTGGACATTTGTACATGTCCATTAGGTGATCAATTAAGTGGACTACATTCACTTAATTGAAACCTTCACTGTAACAGAATTTTTGGTAAATTGGATGCCCCCTGTCCTTCCTTGTTAATCCATTTTATCAGACTTTTACTGTACGTTTCAAGCACAGCACCATCATATATGACATAAATAGCAAATTTTGACAGACACAAGAGAATGGGTCTGTGGGGCGAGTGTGCACAGTATGAAGAAAATCCTGCCCCATGCAGTACATGATGGGGAAAGCAAACCTCTGATCTTGTGTTTGATTTAAAATAGCAACTTTGAGGTATTGTTTAGGATGGTTGTTATTGTTTTATTGGTGGTTTCTTGGTATCAATTGATTAACTAGGAGGACTACTGGCCCATGCGAGGCAGGTTCAATTCTCCCACCGGCTTAAGTCAATGCCTTAACCTACTCAAGTAAGGTCACATTCACATGAAGGAGCATAGCATGACCTAGTAGCACAAGCAAGTCAAGTCCACTCACACCTACCCACATCCACTCATGTATTTATCTAACCTATTTTTAAAACTACATAATGTCTTAGCTTCTATGAAGGTACTCAGGATTTGCTCCACTCATCCACAACTCTATTACCAAACTAGTGCTTTCCAATATCCTTTGTGAATCTGAATTTTTCCAACTTAAAGCCATTGCTACAAGTCCTACCTAGAGGGTGCAGATTCAGGGCCCTCAGTCTATCTTCAAGGGAAGATTTCTGACACATGGGATCAACTTTGTCATCCTTCTTTGTATGTTTTCTAGTGCATTTATATTCATTCTGTAATACGGTGACTAGAACTATGAAGCATAATCTAAATGATTTGCTTCAGGAAGGATAAGGACTTGCCTCCAGTCTTGTATGGATTTTCCCAAGCTCTCCTACAACATTTGGGATGCTCTAAATCATGATTAACCCCTTGAGGGTTTCGGCCGTACTAGTATGGCTTATCACCCAGGGTTTTTGACGTACTAGTACGCCTAAATTCTAACGCCCTCAAATCTAGTGGGAGAAAGCTGGTAGGCATACATATGAAAGAATGGGTCTATGTGGTCAGTGTGCGCAGTATAAAAAAAAGTCCTGCAGCTCAGTGTATACTGAGAAAAAAAAATAACTTTGACCATGTTTTTGGAACAAAACAGCGACTTTGCACTGTATTTTCGTATGGTATTTATTGCTGTATTTTAGTTTTCTTGGTCTCATTTTATAGAATGGAAGACATTTTACAGAAATTGAGATGATTTTGACTGGTTTTACAATGAAAAGTACCTTGAAATTGAGCTCAAAGTAGCAGAAATGTTCGATTTTTACCAAAGTTCATTAATAGTAAACAAATCATGCCAAGCGTCCAATACACGTCAACTGGTGAGTCTAATATTCTTTCACAAGTGAGCTGATATTATTTATACCATTTCTACACTAATGCAGCAGTCTGCATAACAGTAAATCTTCTATTTTTTGTAAGAATAAAAATTGAAAGTGGAAAGCCAAAGAAATATAAGAGGGGCCTGGGGATGTGACTAACGAACAGAGGAAATGTTATTTTAGTGCCAGGAATGTCTTTCTTGTTTATTCTGGACCTTATTTGGAAATTGGCATCTTTTGAAATTTGTGTGAAATTGGCAAAATTGCTAAATTCTGACCACTGTATTGGATAGTTGAAATCAGTAAATGGGTGGTTTCTTGTACTCATTCAAAATAAAAATGGAGTTCTAGAGAAATAGTTATGATTTTTGTCGACTAGTACACTGGATTGGCCGAAAATAGGGCTCAAAGTGGGCAAAATCGCCGATGCGTAAACATCGTCGAGACCGCTAACTTCGCAAGAGCATAATTCCATAAGTTTTCCATCAAATTTCATACTTTTGGTGTCATTATGATCGGGAAAAGATTCTCTATCTTTTCATAAGAAAAAATATATATATTTTTTAAATTTGGCCGACCCTGGGAACAAGTCTCGGAGAGGGCCTGTTGACCCTCAAAGGGTTAATCATTCCTGACTATATTTTATTAATCAAGAAATAGGGTAAAACTCTGACTTTTTGTGATGCTTTCAAAACGGAAGGCAAATGTAACATAGTAGATGCCTGAGGACATGATTACTGAACAGAGGATCGGCTGCTTTAGTGGATGGAATGTACAGTGTGCTGATTCCAGACGTTTTAAATTGGATTTTAATTTTGTGTAAAATTAGCCATATTACCAAATTCTGTACTCTTCAAAGGTAATTTATAGAGTAATTCTGATAGGTAAATGGACAGTTTCTTGTGCTCAATCAATAGACTAGAATTCATAGTAATGAAATAGCTAAGAGTCGTTCAAATGAAACCTTGGAATTGGGTTCAGCAAAGATTCAAA